AATTATTATTTTATATTTGAATGTTTCTGTTTAATTATTATTTTATATTTGAATGTTTCTGTTAAATTATTATTTTATATTTGAATGTTTCTGTTTAATTATTATTTTATATTTGAATGTTTCTGTTAAATTATTATTTTATAGATGAATGTTTCTGTTCAATTATTATTTTATATTTGAATGTTTCTGTTAAATTATTATTTTATATTTGAATGTTTCTGCTAAATTATTATTTTATATTTGAATGTTTCTGTTAAATTATTATTTTATATTTGAATGTTTCTGCTAAATTATTATTTTATAGATGAATGTTTCTGTTCGGTCCCGGAGACGACTTCTGTTGTGACTTGGACCTTTAGAAATAAACTGAATGAATACTTGACTTTACACATTTGTTGAAAACTGTTTTGTAGTTTTTAGTTTGTGTATTTGCAGATGTGATTGTTTGTTGCTCTGTCAGCAAAATATTTTCTGAACCTGTGGACAGACCTGAATGAACCTCCTGCAGTTGTTGGACGTCCTGGTGACACACTGAGCTGACCGTTTAAAGGAGCTTGTGATCTTCGCAGACTGGGTCTAACAATATTTTAAACTTGTCATTTTGAAACACAAGATGTTTTATGTTTCAAAAGTTGGGCATGAAAGTTGGTGGAACAGGCAGGTGTTGGTTCAGCAGGTGTCCTTTATCTAGTCCTCACCACTTTCAACTTGTTTTAATCATGAATCCTGTACACCAGGTGTGTTCAGACCTGGTTCTGGAGGACCACCATCCTGCATGTTCCAGATGTTCCTCTGCTCCAACTCACCTGGTCTGAATCAACAGGTGAGTCTTCTGCAGAACATGAAGAAGTCGTTGAACCATTGAATTCAAGGTGTTGCAGCAGAGAAACCAGTAAAACATGCAGGATGGTGGTCCTTCAGGAGGTTTGGATGGTGGTCCTTCAGGACCAGGTCTGGATGGTGGTCCTCCAGGACCAGGTCTGGATGGTGGTCCTTCAGGACCAGGTCTGGATGGTGGTCCTCCAGGACCAGGTCTGGACACCCCCGTTACAAACCATCCATTTTCTTTACCCACTTTCTCCTTTACTGGTCACAGGGCACTGGTTTCTCTTCTAAACCTGAAAAAACAGTTTTGGCATGAAACTTAACATCCATCATCCATCCATCCATCATCCATCCATCCATCCATCATCTTCCTCTTGTTCTGGACTCAGGTCTCGAGGTCAGCATCTTGAGCAGGTCCAGACATCTCTCTCCACAGCCTCTTCCAGCTCTTCTGGGAGGACTCCAAGGTGTTCCCAGACCAACTGAGAGACGTAGTGTCTCCAGTGTGTCCGGGGTCTCCTCCCAGTCTGATATGCCTGAAGCACCTCCCTAGGGAGGCGCCCAGGGAGCATCCTTACCAGATGAACCACCTCAACTGTCTCCTCTGGATGTGGAGGAGCAGTGGTTCTCCTCTGAGTCTCTCCTGATAACTGAACTTCTCCCCCTGTCTCTAAGGGAGAGTCCAGCTGCAGAGGAAACTCATTTCAACCTCCTGGATCCATGACCTCATTCTTTCAGTCTCTACCAGAGTTCATGACCAGAGGTGAGGGGAGGAACGTAGACCGACCAGTAAACAGAGAGCTTTGTCTTACAGGTTTGCTCCTCTTCACCACAACGGACCGGCACAGAGCACGGGCTCAGGTTGGGGGTGGTGACGTCAACATACAAACAACTGAAACTGACATTTTCACAAAGTAACAGGCAACAATAACTGTTCCAAGATGGCCGACATCCGGCTCATAGACACTCCGGTCTCAGCCTGGCACCGTTTAATGGGACTTCAAGTTAAAGAACATGCAGCGTCTTCTGGAGGCTTCTTGCAGTCACAATGATCATTTAATAATTGTCCTTCAAAGATATCGTTGATCATTTCATACAGCACAACATTACAGATAATCCCTTTATTATTCTCACAAAACCAGGACAAATACAAATAAATCATGTAATTTAGCTGAAGTTAACAACATTTAAAGCTGACAAAAGTTCTGCACACGATAAAATCAGAGTTTAAGCTTCAGGAAATGACACGGCCTCTTCTCAAACCAAAGTGCTCAAATGAACGTTTGATAAAAACTCAATAAAAAACAAGAAATACTTTTTAACGTGTTTCTCTGAAGTCAGAACGTTTTGACCAGAGGAGCTCAGAGCCGGTGAAGTTACATCAAATCTGTGAGTTGACTCCATCAAAGTCAAAAATGTGTTTCAGTAAAACAAACGAGGTTCAGGCTGAACACGTGGAACACAAACACAAGTTCCACGTTCTGGTTCTTTAGTAAAACGTTCTGCTGCTGATGTTGGCACTTTGAAATAAAATAAGAGTTCAACGTAAAAGCAGTGAAGTTGACGTGGCTCCGTGTTGACGACGACGTGGACCAGCAGAGTTGAAGGCGGAACATCTAAATCATCTTCAGACTCCAGCGAACAAAATCCAGAACAAACCACGGAACAGAAACGACACCGGTTCTTCCCTGACTGGATCATCAACAGGACCCGGCTCATCGGCCGGAGTGTGAACCGCATCGTGCTGCGCCAAGTCCTGCGGCGCCCCGTCTGCATGCCGAGGCAACGAGCAGCCGAGCTGATCACAAATGCAACTCCCCGTCCACTGTCCTCCACCGGGAACCCGTTCTCTTAAATAAGACGGTCTACTTCCTGCTGAGGGTCTGTTTATTGGTTCTGGGTGATGAAACTGAGCTTCGAGCACAAAAGGTTTCCATGAGGCAACAGCAGCCAACAAGCATTCATTAAGACGATGAAAGAGGTTCCTGGTCGAGTTCAGGGTGTCTGGTTCTGGGTTTTCTTCTCCAGATCCCGTTCTGATCCACGTCTGGCCCTTACGGACTCTGCACCTCCATGTTATCAATTAAATTTTCCTCCTTTTTGAAGTGCAGGTGTCTGATGGACCTCCACACTCCTACAAAGCTGTCGCTGAGCGACTGAGCGGAGGGGGCGCTCTCCCTGTGGAGGTGCTCCCTCTGCATCTCCAGCGCCTCTGTTTCAGTCATGACTCCAGACTTCAGTCCTCCGCCTCCTGGTCCACTGGCTCCCAAACATACTTCTCCATTAGCCAGATGGGATGCTGGTTCCTCCTTCTGGTCACCTCTCAGTTCTTCTCTTGGCTCTGGTTGTCCTGGATCAGATCCAGCAGTTGGCCCTGCACCGTTCACTGGTGGTTTCTCTCTGTAAGGGTCTTCTTCGGGCTGTGAGGCGTCCTTCTCCGTCTTCTCCAGGTCCTCGTACAAACTCTTCTTCTTTGTCTCGTAGTATTTGACCACGCAGTAGGTGATGGAGCCGATGGTGTTCACCACCACACCACCGATGAACAGCCGGGTCGGTGAAACATCCTTGAAGGCCAGCATACCGACCGTGATGGTGGCGATGCTCTTGACGACGCCGACGAAGCTGGTGGTAACGGCCGAGTTGATGTAGGTGCAGTGAAGGGTGGTGAAGTTCATGGCACAGCCGATGAAGATGCAGAAGATGAAGATGATGGTGATCTGAGGCTCCTTCCAGCCCTCGTAGGACCACATGTTGAAAGCGTCCATGGAGATCATGGAGCACATGAGCAGAACCTGAGACAGGAAAGAAAAACGTCAAGAAATAAAACAAACTTCTAATTTTTGGAAGAGCACCACAATTTTAACATCAGCTTCCTTCTCTAAAGCCCAACAGGAAATTTGAACTGCATTTTGTAAAAATTGAAGCAGTGAGAGCCAGACTTTTACTTTGAAGAGTGTCTCTGGGCTTTATTTTGAAAAACAAGGTTCAATCCTCTTCCTATTTCCTGCCAAACCTCTGACTGAATCCTCCTAAACATCAGAGGTCTGATCAGAGATGACATGAAGTCTGAGATTTTACAGGCGGCCACGATGGAAACAGAGATTGGGTAATATAGAAGACCCACAATCAAATCCCGCCTCTTTTTAGGAGAAGCAGAAAAGGGGAGGAGCAGCATATGGCTGAACCACAGAGTAAAAGATAAGCCTCCAACAAACAGTCTGTGTGTGAAAACTAGAAGTTGGATCAAAGAAGTTCTTGACCCGTGAGCAGCAGGATGTTCTGAAGGTACCACAGGTTCTGTTTGATGGTTCTACTGGGTTTGCTGGAGGAGATACGGCAAGATAAAGAGAAAACTGAGCTCAGGCCCAGTGGAAGTCAATGGGAGTTTGACCTCTGACCTCTGAGAGGACACAACAGTCTCACAGAGGACACACTCTGGGGGACAGAGACAGAAAGACTGAAGACTGGAGGAGACGAGGAGAGTTTGTAGATGTATTTTTGTTTGTAGAAATATTTGTTGCCTGTTTTACTGCCAGCACCAGAACCCCGACCCGACACAAAGATAAAGTCTGAAGACAGAGGACCGTTCTCCTACCGGGGACGCCATGATGGTGATGGCATACTGGGCCGTCAGAGGTCCGTACTCGCTGTCCAGACTGGTTTTCTGTATCAGAACCAGGTAGGAGGCATGGACAATCACAGCCAGAACACCGGTGACGTACCCAAAGGGATCACCGGTGAGGTCGCCCGCACCTGCAGGAACATTCAGGCACGTGAGAAGGTGGACTGATTCAGAACTGAGGTTCTGTTGGATGAGAAGCGGGCTTTAGTTGGTTCTGATGTGTGTTTACCGGCCAGCACGGCTCCTCCGGTGGTGATGAGGACGGCCGTTACCACGCCGACGGACGGCATGGCGTTCCTCAGCACGCACACGCCGATGCAGAGCGTGAAGAGCGGCAGACAACGCTTGAAGACGACGTACATCGGAAGACTGAGGCCGCGGAGAGACCACAGGGTGAGGGTGGACTGCAGAGTGGACAGGACGCACACCGAGGAGAACTCCTGCAGAGACAGAGACACAGAGACAGAGACACAGAGACACAGAGACAGAGACACAGAGACAGAGACACGGAGACAGAGACACAGAGACAGAGAGACTTCTTGAGTGTGAGCAGCAGCAGATTGAGAAGAGCTGAAAATTTGTGTAACTTCATAATTTTCTATTTTTCTTCATCAACATGATCCAGAACATCTTCAGAAGTTCAACCAGGTCCTGAGAGTAGATCAAGAGATCCAGTTAAAGAAACGAGACTAAATATTAAACTTGTTCATTTATTGATTGAGGACAATGATCAATGTCACATGTTAGAGGTAAAAGTCTGTGAACCTCTGGGATTATCAATAATCTGAAGGTGGAATTAGAGTCAGGTGTTTTCAATCAGTGATGGTGATCAGGTGTGAGTGATCACCCTGTTTGATCTAAAGATCAGGATCTATCATCGTCTGATCTTCACATGTTGGTGGAACAAGGAGATCTCTGAGGAGCTCAGAAAAACAGTTGTTGATGCTCATCAGGCTGGAGAAGGTCACAGAACATCTGGAAAGAGTTTGGACTCCACCAGTCCAGTCAGACAGATTGTGTCCTAATGGAGGAAGTTCAAGAACATTGTTCCCTCCCCAGGAGTGGTGGACCAACAAAGATCACTCCAAGAACAAGGTGTGGAGTAGTGGACGAGGTCACAAAGGAGCTCAGGGTAACTTCTAACAGCTGAAGGTCTCTCACACTGACTGATGTTGATGTTCATGAGTCCACCATCAGATCTCCAAGAAGAACATGCTGCTCATCTGCAGCTTGATGAAGATCACGTGGCCGAGCCAGAAGACTGTTGGAACAATGTTCTGAGGACGATGAGACCAAAGTAGAACTTTTTGGTTTAAATGAAGAGTTCTGTTTGGAGAAAGGACAACATCATTCCTGGAGAAGAACCTGATCCCATCTGTGGAACATGGTGGTGGTAGGATCATGGTCTGGACCTGTTCTGCTGCATCTGGACCAGGACTTCTTGCCATCATTGATGGAACAATGGATTCTGGATTATATCAGATGATTCTAGAGGAACATGTGAGAACATCTGTCCATGAACTGAATCTGAAGAGAAGGTGGGTCATGCAGCAACAATGACCACATGAGATGTTCAAAGAATGGGTCAAGAAGAATAAAGTTCATGTTGTGGAATGACCAAGTCAAAGTCCTGACCTTCGTCCAATCCAGATGTTGTGGAAGGACCTGAAGCTGCAGTTAATGTGAGGAAACCACCAACATCCAGAGGTGAAGATGTTCTGTACGGAGGAATGGGCTCCAAGGTGACCAGGACTGACCAGCATTTCATCGGTTTCTGTTTCAGAAGAAACATTTGGTCTTTCATCCAAAGGACTTCATCAGTCTGAGGCCTGCAGGATGCTTCAAACCAGCCTGCTGTGGAGTTCATGCAGCCTGGCTTTACACGTGCACAGTGGAGGAGCGCCCGTCTATAATGGTTTTACACGTGCACAGTGGAGGAGCGCCCGTCTAAAACAATCGACCAGTGCAGAACAGTCAAAAACAGCTGGACCAGTCAACAAGAACCAAAATGGATGATCAGCCATACTGGTTTTTTTCTTACTGGATCATTGTCCTCCATCAATCAATAAATAAATGAGCCAGTATAAACGTTTTAGTCTCACTGGTTTAACTGGGTTCTCTGAATCTTTTAGGACTGGAGTGAAAATGTGAAGATGTTTTAGATCACATTGATGCAGAAATATTGAAAATAATTCAAACGTTAAAAACCTCTGTGTCTGTGCAGCAACTGGTTTCAACTGGTTTCAACTGGTTTCACTGTTTATATTAATAAACTGCATCTCCTGATAAAACACAGAGTCAGTGCTTAATGCAGAACTTGTTGAAAAACAGCTGAAATGAGCTGAAAACAAGCTGAATTTGAGAGGAAACGGAAGAAGCTGAAACAGCAGAAGAAAACAGAAGGAACACATATTTGCTGAATTAGGTTAAAAAAGCAGAAATTAGCAGAAAATTTAGGAAATTACCTAAAAAAAAAGGCTGAAAGTAGAAAAAAAAAGAGCTGAAATGTAGCTGAAAAGGCAGAAAGAAGCTTAAAGTACCAGAAGGAAGCAGAAAGAATCTGACAGGAGCACAAAACAGCTGAAAAAACAGCTGAAAGTAGCTGAAAAAGTTTAAATGAGCAGAAGCTGAAAGAAGCTGAAGCAGAACAAAGAAACAGTAAAAGGTTGTAAACAGATCTGAAGATCTGAAGGAGGTCAATGAGCTCAGGTCTGTTTCTGTGAGAAACAAATGTCAGAAAAGGCTAAATATTTTAAATATTTCAAATATTTAAATTTTAAATATTTTATTAAATATTTAAAATATTTCAAATATTTCAAATATTTTAAATATTTTAAATATTTTAAATATTTTTAATATTTTAAATATTTCAAATATTTCAAATATTTAAAATATTTAAATATTTAAATATTTTAAATATTTTAAATATTTCAAATATTTCAAATATTTAAAATATTTAAAATATTTAAAATATTTCATATATTTAAATAATTAAAA